AGCCGGGTCGCGGGAAGGGCGATTCCAGTACTAAGCTTGTACTACAAACCAATGAAAATCCAGCCGGGTCGCGGAAACGTCGATTCCAGTACTAAGCTTGTACTACAAACCAATGAAAATCCAGCCGGGTGACACATTCCAAATCGCTAACGATTTGGGGCTCTTGATTTTAAATCCAAAGCGCATTCGATCTTAAATCGCTAGCGATTTTCCCATCTAAGCCCTAGAACCCAAAAGATTGAAGTTCAAGACCCCGCCCAGGGGTCCTTTACCACCTGCCATCCAGTCTTGTCCATGGGAAGAAGGTCTGCCTGAGCATCCCAATTGCGTCGACACTCCCAACCCCAAACTTTTGATGCAACTCGTGATAGGACACCCCCATTGGTCAAAAATAAAGGGGGGGGATGACCCCAAACGGGTTCCCCCGCAGATCAGTCGGGTTTGGGTCCTGAAAGGCCAGGCAGGCAGGCTGATTCTCTCATTTGGCTCAGGCTCACATCTAAACCAGGCCAATGTCTTACATGTGAGACAGTGAGACACCCTTCCCGAGCCCGAAGCCCAGCAGCCTAAAGCTGTTCCCGTGAAAAGCTAAGGACGTCAACCAAGAACTCTTGCAAAACACATCCCCGAAGATACCCAATGCCCCAACAATTGAAAAATTACTCGGGCGATCCCTCAGCCCCCAACCCTGCGCTGGTGTCCTTGAGGCCTGATTTGTTCACCTGAACCCTTAGAGTCTTAGAGATCTTGAGAATCTCTCAAACCCCAAACCCTAAAGCCTCGAAGTCCAGCACCCTAGAACCCCAAAACCCCCAAAGCAGTAGAACCCTAACCCAGGCGTGCCTGATGTTGAGCGAAGAAACCTGCCATTGAGGGGTTTAGGGTTTGGGGTTCTATGAGGGTTTGATAAGTCCAAAGGGCTTATAAGCATTTACGAGGGATCACAGGCCAGGCATACCGTGCAATTCAACCCAAAACTCACGCAAAACCACGGATTTATGATGATCTGAAACGGAGAGCAATTTCAAGTTCAAGTCTTGCAAAGCGATGGCGTAAAATGGGAATCGACACCCCCGCCATACAACTCCATAGAACTGTAAACCCTAAACCTTCAATTAACCCTTAAACCGCCATAAGTTAGGCTGATGACCGCGAAAACTGCTAAGTTTACTCTTTTGAAGTATGTGCATTCAACCTGGCCGCCTGGATATCAAGCACCGTGCTGACCTCCCGGGGGCTGATTTCAAAAACCCTCACTCAACCCTACGCCTAATATTCGGGATGACTGCGAAATATCCCGGGGGCCTTTCTGGCAAGGAGCACTAAGCTTAAACCCTACGCCCCTCAACCTTACACTCTAAACGCCTAAGCCCTAAGCCCCTCAACCCTACACACCAAACACCTAAACCCTAAGCCCCCTCAAACACCAAGCCCTGAGCCCCTCAACCCGCCCCCGCGACCCCTGTGCTCCACCTGTCATACTCGGGTCCGCGGTGCGCACCTGCCCTGACCCGGAAGGCTTCTCCTGATGCGGCCCGCAAAATCAAAAAATAGGGATACCTTAATGGGTCCAAGAAAAAGGGAATCCTACTGTTTGCGGGATCCCCTATTTTCGAGGGGATATATGGTTGTGCGCTGTGGGTTCTGCGCCCCCCCCCCCCCCCCCCATGGTATATCCCCCCCCCCCCAAAGGGAAACCCTAACCCCACGCATAAACCTTAAACCCTAAACCCTAAACCCTAAACCCCAACCCCCAAACCCTAAACCCTTTCCAAAACCACCCAGAACCACCCCACAGGGGGGGGGGGGGGGCGTGGGCCCGCCGGGGCGCAACCAAAAAAAGGGTGGTTGTCAAAATGATAGTCCTTTTTTGGATCCCTACTCTGATGCGGCACCTAATATCTATAGGGTACCCAAAAGGGATCATAATTCTGACAACCACCCATATGAGGTTTTAACATCTCAGGGGCCTGTAAACCCGGCCCTGTAAGGTTTGGGCATCAGGATCGGGACCTTCAAGTGTGGCCGGCTTCGAGATTGTTTAGGGTTTAGGGTTTAGGGTTTGGGGTTTGGGGTTTGGGGTTTGGGGTTTGGGGTTTGGGGTTTGGGGTGTGGGGTTTGGGGTTTAACCCTCTAAAACATCTTCCCCAAGGAGGCACTCTTGCACCCCAAGGAAGGCACGCAAAACAAGGTCCCGATGTCCTGCCTAATTAGTGCATTAAGGTCCCTTTGGGGGGGGTGCACGGAGAGCCGAGCTCGAGCCATTTCATACATTATGACAGGAAGCCCCTGAACCCTAAACCCGAAACCCGTCGTGGAAGAGAGGCCTATCACCCCCAAGCCCGTCAGAGGCCCGAAAGCCCAACCCTACTACACCCCAAGCCCTAAGCTCTAAGCCCTAAACCCTAAACCCTGAGCGCTGTCGTCCTCTTACTCCTGACCCTGAGTTGGGATTGTCGAAGTCCAAGATAAACCGAGGCCACCCGCCCTGATGACACTGCTCCCCCCCTCCCTCCCCCGCCCCGCCTAAGATTAAATGTCGCACGAAGCTCGAAGCCCTAAGCCTTATACGCCCCCCCCCCCCTTTAAAAAGCTGATCCTAAGGCATTTGAGCCCAGACAGAGACCATGCCGTGCAAGGCTCTTCGTACGGAATGTTTACCCAAAACCCGAAAAGTCTGTGAGGACCGAGTCGGGCCTCACCCATCAGTATCCGCAGCAGGGTGGACCTAGGAAAGCTTATGGTTCTGATTCCAGGCTTCAGGGTTTGGGGTTCAGGTGTTTTTCGGGCTTGAGGCTTTAGGAGTTTAGGCGTCTGGCCGGGTTAGGGATCCGAGCTTCTAGGCCTGGAGCCCTCAGCAAACCGGAGCAAATCTCCGATTGCAGGTTAGGGTTTTAAACGTCTCCGTCGAACTCGAAACGTACATCCTGGACTCCGAGACCTTACCCAGAGGGTCCATTTGTAGTACCATTCTGGCATTAGGTACCCAAAAACCCTGAAATAGGTTTTTCGGGTACCTACTTCCATAATAGCAGTACAAATAGACCGTCAATCGCAACAAAGGACTACGTGACCGTTGGGACCGCATGTTTGCCATTTTCTTGTGCAAATCGAAAGCGCAGACCAGCACGTGCAGGAAGTTGCCAGGTTCATGCCGATTCGAGTCACCACGCTGTTCCACACCATTCACCCAGGCCTGCACTAAAGTTCGGATGTGTATGCAACAAACCCAAGCAGCAAAACAACAACGGAGTCGAAACACCTGCGGCCAGGTTGGGAGAAGTGGGTTCCAGCGAGGCTTCCCGTGGAAAAACGCAGCTTGATGACGCATGTCAAGCACAAGCATCCCTTTCTTAGCAATGCCCCTGAGCTTCGTGATTTTGCTTCGGGTTGTGTGGTGGATCTGCAGGTCCTTGCTCCCATGCATTGATGTAGAGGGCCACCTACAAAGTTGGCACTTCCGGCCTAGAAATGGTCAAATCGGGAACCGGAATTCGGACCAACGACCATTCAGGTTCAGGGTATGGCCGAGGAGTTAAGCAAGTACAGCGTGCTTGAGACTACAACCCCCGAACCTCTGCAGACCCTCCAAGCCCAAACCGAATACAAAGTCCCATTCGAAACCTTTAGCTGCAGACCCTGAAAGCTCGAAAACTCCACAAGTCCCTATGGCCCTATGCCTTCTCAGGCTAATGGCCCCTGCAACAACCCCTACTCTGTGGGTCTTTGCTTGTGTGACACGGCCAAATCAAGTCCATGGCGCTCGGCAGTTTCGAGGGGCGGGTTAGGGAGTTGAGGTTTAGGCCTTGTGATTTGGGGATTTAGAGGTTGAGGAATTCAGGAGGTTTGGGATTCCGGGGTTTGGGGTCGAGGGGATTTAGGCTCGAGCGCAAGGGGTTTCTGATACGTTCGGGTGCCTAAGTGCCCTGTATGCCAAGCACAAGCAGAATTATGAGCCCCGAGACCCGAATCCCCAAACCTCAAAAAACTCGAAATGAGGTACGTCGACAGCGTACTAGGTTTCGGGTACCGGCACCCGTCTGGGCTTTAGTATGATTCGTTCAGTCACAAGAATTAGTCGAATTGGGGGACCCTCCTTGCCGAACCTGCAAGCCGAGAGTTTGGCTTGCCCGGACCCCGAAACTCCAAACCCTTAGCCGCCCTAAAACCCTAAACCCCAAGCCCTAAACCCGGTAGCACAGGAAGGTCTCTGTGGTCCCTTCCAGGTTTCTAGGCTGGCCCTAAGGTACTCTTAGGTCCGATACGGGAACATGCCAAGCGTCAGGTGTCCGTTCAGGGCTTCAGCTGTGCGGCTTTCTATACTCCCCTTGAACCTGTATAAAACTAATATTTTTTACGTCCTCTCTGAACAAAAATGAAAAATACTCCCCAAGGGGGATATAGGCTTTAGGGGGATCATGGTTCACGTTTTCGGGTTGAGTCAGCGATGGGGTCTTTCAGATCCAGTGGTAAGACGAGGCGCCGCCGACTGCCGCTGGACTGCCAGCTTTCAAACATTCAAAGGCAAGCAGATTCACATGAAGAACATGGCCTGACGTTCACAGCAGCCCTAGACTCTAACCCTAAACCCTATACACCCTAAGCCGCAGTTGCAACCAACCTCTGAGCCCCAGAACCGATCCCTAAACCCTGGAACCGAAAATCTGAACACGGGCCAAGGCGTTTGGGGGTTCGGGGCGCATGAGAGGGCCTCTATACATAATCCAGGGTTCCCCGTGTAGGGGTTAGGGTGTAGGGCTTAAGGCCCCAAAAAACCCAAACCCTAAACTGTGACTGAACCCTAAACCTAATTGGGCCGGTAAGGCCCGTAGGTCCAAGATGGTGACCGCTTTTTTGTAGCGAGTCCGCTCACACTGACATGAACGGTACCTATGAGGAAAAGCGAGCATGGGTGCAGGGTCTAAGGCAAATGGAGCATAATTGAGGTTTAAGGTTTAGGGGAGAACAACCCCAAAAGCGGACTTAAACCCTCAGGGGCAGAGACGAGATGGCTGAGAACCCTAGTACGGGGTTGGGTTCAGGCGCCAGCACTTGAGCTATAAACCCCAACCCGAAACCCCTAAACCCTAGAATAAAGAGATCGCAGGTAGCCCAGGTCTACTAGAGGGGCCTTCACAACTAGAATAGGGTTTTGGGGGATATTGTAGTATAAATATACAGGGGCCATAAGCGAATATCATTAGCAATTATTCGGCCCCTATATAAAGTATCCCGGGTCGCTGTGTAGCCGATCTGCGAGGCCCAGAGCCTCTTCCAGATTCTGGGCCTGCGACTCCGCACCAGGGAAAATTTCGTGGTGCGCTTTGGCCGGCTTGCCCCAAGGGAGTTCTGAAGTCTGAACAGGCTGGTGAGATTTGCCTAGATTTGCCTCGGGTTTTGCTGAGCTCTAATACATAGTCGAGGCCAAGCTTGTGTTCAGCTAATCCAAGTTTTTATTCTCCATTCCGCAGGCCTCTCTTTTGCCCGACACAAGTCTTGATCCTATACTACCCCTTTAGAGGATGCTATACTGTCCTCTGGTCTCTGGTTCGTTGCGACAAAGGGAAGACCCCTTCCCCCACCTTGACTATCCCCAACCCGAAATACGCAACGGCTCATTGGGGCTCATCTCAGGGCTGTTTCGGCCTTGTTGTGGGTTCCAAAACCATAAGACTAGACAACATATATACTGCATCAGTATGCTCAGATGTACACTATTCAGTATTCTGTATCATGCAGAATATGTAGTGACATACATACATACATACCTACATACACACAAACACATATATATATATATATATATGGGTACATGCCTATCCCCCCTACCTTTTCTGAAATTTCTGTCTTTTGCACTTTGTCTGCACTCGATGTTTTTATTATGTGTGCCAAAACCCCAACCGCACCAACGCACCAACGTCCCAATCATTTGAGCCCATGATTGGGACAAAACCCCAACCGCACCAACGTACCAACGTCCCAATCATTTGGGCCCATGATTGGGACAAAACCTTAACCGCACCAACGTACCAACGTCCCAATCATTTGTGCCCATGATTGGGACAAAACCCCAACCGCACCAACGTACCAACGTCCCAATCATTTGAGCCCATGATTGGGACAAGAACCCACCCGCACCAATGCACCAACGTCCCAATCATTTGGGCCTATGATTGGTACACGGGATGAACTAATGTACCAATGTACCAATGATTTGGCCCATGATTGGTACACAGGATGTACCACCAATGTACCAATGTACCAATGTACCAATGTACCAATGTACCAATCATTTCGGCCCATGATTGGTACACAGGATGAACCAATGTACCAATGTACCAATGTACCAATGTACCAATCATTTCGGCCCAGGATTGGTACATAGGATGTTTGTACCAGTCATGGGCCCAAATCATTGGTACATTGGTACATTGGGTCATGGGTCGTCCTTTGCACCAATCATGGGCCCAAATCATTGGTACATTGGTACATTGGTACATTGGGTCCTGGGTCGTCCTTTGCACCAATCATGGGCCAAATCATTGGTACATTGGTTCATTGGTTCGTTGCTGCGTTGGCACTGTCAGTAAACCCTAAACCCTAGGTAGAACTTCTACCCACGTCTGTAGGTATATTGTTCTTATTGTATATCAAAAAGAGAAAGTGGAGAGGGAAGGACGGTATTCTCAAACCATAAAACTAGGAAGCATTTGATGGCAGGGGGTGATGCGAAAAAATCTATTATATGTAGGCCCCAGGGAAGCGAGAACACTGAGCAAATACCTCTATTCGTCTAAGATTTGGGCCAAACCGTATTCGTTTTAAATTTAGTTAAACAATAACGTTGGCTATCAACCCTAAACCCCTGCCAAGGTGACTCGACTTCTACACCAACTTCTTCGGTTTTTTGGGGGGAGTGTTCTGGGTACAGTAGCTATAATGGAACACCAAAGGTGTTTATAAACAGGGTCGGTGATTATAAACAGGTGTTGTGTTAAGTATAGTATACAAGTATATTCAATACTCATTATATCCTTTCTTTTGATCAACACCACATACGCCCCAGGTCGGTCCCAGGAAATAGTGGGCGGATGTGAAAATCTGCCCCCCCCCCCCCCCCCCTGCCATCCTCCCCCACCTCCCCCCACCTACCCCCCCCCCCCCCTCTAGCCCCCCAATAAGCACAACCACCGTCGCAGAACATGTGTTGCTGGCTAGCCATGTACATGTACAATTCGACACCCCTGAAGCCAGGAGCCCCATAAGCCCCGCCCGCGAACCCTGCATTAGCCTCGGTACCCTGGCAGAGGCGGCCCAAAAAAGGCACCCAGTGCATCAGAACTCCCAAAGAGCGCGAGGCCCCTGCACAAGACGCCACAGATCCCTTGTCTACCTCAAGAATAGGGTGTGTAGAGGTTTAGGGGTTAGGGTTGGGGTTGGGCTTTCCTGTAAGTCGTTGAACTGCACTGCTGTCAGGGCTCACTCAACATTGCATACAGGGTCCCGAAAACTAACATAGGAACTGAAAGACTTTGGGGTCTTAGGTCGGGTGACCAAGAGAGACCCGCAAAAATAAAAACTCCAAAAGCATGGCCTTAAACGCGGCCTCCTTAAGTTATTCCAATGGTGCCCTAGTCTGGAGGACCTGAGGACCTTAGTCTTGAAGATCTTTTTGTGGCGCCTCCTAGGAATTCTACACGAGTTGCTGGGAAAGTGATCGACTCCGCAAAACACATGTGCTGTGCATGCGGATTTGCAAGGGGGGTGGGGGGGAACTTGGCGCCAGTACTAAGCTTAGAAACTCCTTAAGACCTAGATCAAGCCCCACGTGTCTTGCCTTTAAACCCTGAATCCTGCCAAGTTGGCTACCTGCCTTCTCACAGACATTCGGGCCTCTAAACAGACCAAAGAATTTGGACCCAAGTCACCGGCAGAAATATTTGCGGTTTCCGGCTTCGGGGTTGGGATTTGGTGCTTAGGGTTTTGGATTTCGCCCCTCTGCTGGTGCATACGCCACAAGGGACCGTGGGCAGTGGCAGTGGAGGCGGAGGTTCATTTAGCTGCCGCCCTCAAAGGCTTCAGTCCAATCGCATGAGTATCGGGGAAGGCCCAGTCGGAACAGTATGGGGCTGACGTAATTATCTCAAGTTACATGGTCCCTTAGTCTGGGCCCTTAAGTTGGACCCCTTACATACCCCTTATATACCCTATACAAATGAAGGGCAAATACATCAGGACCCTTTAAGACAGTTTAGGGTGGAGGGTTTTGGCTGGGCACCTTTATTTCCGGCGATTCTACGTACGCATAGGGAATATGAGGGTAGCGTGTTGGAAATGGCTCAGGGTTCTTGAACTACTTAGGCCCGCTAAGCCCTGAAACCCTTAAACCCTGAGCCCTAAACTCCAAAACCCCACCCTCAACGCCCT